GAATGCATGTTCTATTATGGCTAAGGATTTTCCATATACTGTGGTGAAGAAAATTTCAGTGAAAAACATTCTGCATTCATCTAAGAAATACTTTATCAAAGAAGGATCTTCACCAAGAGAGCCCTCTGAGGGTAGCAAAAGTTTGTCTTCTTGTGAAAACCTCCTTTAACTTCTGTATAGTTAATGTTTAAGTGGCTTTTGGTTTACAGCATGCGTTGCTGCTGTACCTCCGYGCAGGCTTCTCCATGTTAAATATGAGGATTGCAGTGATGTTCACTTGCACTGAGTGGTCCAAAATGAATCATTTATTGATCTGAAAACAAAAAGAAAAGAAAAATAAAACAACTGTATTGCCAGCTGCCCTGCTTATTTTGATGCTGCAGTCCACATTATTTAAAAAAAAAAGAAAAAAAGAAAATAGTAAAGAAAAGGTAAATACAATAGCAAACACACAAAAAAAAACCCTCAAAAGCTTGGTGTTACAGGGAGTTATGCACACAACTTGGCATGGGAAAGCAGGAATAAAAGGAGTTGCAGATCACGGCTAAAAGGTAAAGGCAGAAAAATCAGCAGAACTGCTGCTCAYGACATTTCTTGCTCCTGACAGTAACCACATTGGCATGAAATTCGTTCATAATGTCACTTAAAACAATAGCTTTAAAATTAAAAAAAAGAACTCCTTCACAATGAACATATACTTCCATTCCATGAAGTACTTATATTTTAATGAAGAATGCAGTTTCCTAGCAGCAAGTGCTAACATCAGAATGAAAAAYTAGATTGTTATACTGTATATTTGCCTTGAGAAGGATAAATTGAAAATAGGATTTGCTAAAAACACTGATAATATCTTGAGTCATTCATTTGTCTTAAAAGGATATTAAATTTCATTGGGTTTCTTGTTTGCTTGAGGTATTTCAAGACTGCTTGGAGAGTTCACAGTGGAGGGTTTTCCTCAGCTGCTACAATTGTCTCCTAAAGGACAGCCTATTGACAGATGGAGGAGTGTCTTGATCTCTGCACTCTCCTCCATTTTGGGACAGCTTAGGAATTAATTACAAATTTTCTGATTTCCACCTTCTTTATTTCTTTTTTTTTCATTATATGCCTAGAATAAAATAAAAAATMTATTCTTAAGCTCTGATTCTGCAGGCCCTTGATTATACTTACCTAAGTTGTTGTACAATATCTAGGGCTACTCTCAAAGCTTGAAATTAAGTTTATAAATCTTTTTAGGATCAGAGTTACCTTCTGCACTCCTACTCATTGTTATCAGTAAGTTCCTCTAAATTATATTAATGATGAAAGAGGGCAAAATCAAGTTCTAAAGGAAGGTTTCTTATATCATCTGCAGTTCTTGTTGTTGTTCAGTGGATGTAGTTAACAAAATGCATCTCCTTAAGTCTGAGCAGATGATAAGATAAATTTGATTCAGGTTGAGGAACAGTTCCTACAGAGGCAGACGAATCATATATATGGTTAAAGAGATACAAGGACAATCAGATATTATGCATTTTATGTCCTATTGATATTTCATGTCCTGTTGATATTACTTTTCTACTGATTGTTTTAATTGTTGAAAAATATTTTTTTCACATCTTTGATTCTCAAGAATATAACATCAGTATACATCCATCAGTAACAAAGCAATTTGCAAGAGAAGTCTTCACTATGCAGTTGTCATATTTCTAATAGATAATGGTGGTGATATTTTTATATACCTGTGACCAGTCTAGGTTTTCTGCTTTGAATGTGAGTGAGATTAAAAGCACAGGCTCTACAGGACTATAATTATAGTTCTAGCATAAAGAATATTATTTTGTCAGAGTACAGCCATGCCCACATGAACATATCATAAAGCTTTTGAGTACACTCTTTCTTTCAAAGCACACTTAAATCTGCATCCATGCAGTGCAGCCTGTTAGGCATTAAGCTGGTCCATGGGGCTTACACCAATTTCCTACCTACTTGGCATGCACAGAGCTGTACTAGGACTGTCTTCATTGTGAGATCAGAAATGAGTTTCTATGGTTATTTGCCTATCGGCTTCTCAACACAATTCATGAATACAGAATACTACAAAATACGAGCCTACTGTTCATTCTTTGCTTTGTACACTATATTATTTTTATGCTGCATTCTCTGATGTGTTCTAGGAATCCTATGCTTTCTAGTAACTATTTCTAAGGTCCTCTGACCCAGATTATCTCTGCTGTTTATGCCTAACACTTTCAGCTGTATAGCAATACAGCTATATAGGAGGTAGAGCATCTGAACATCTCAGTTTCTTGTGCTTACATGGGATTCATGTTTTACAGCATTCTCACATTATTTAACATTTTTACTACTTGCCTAACCACATATGATTCTTGTTTGTAGAACCTAATGCTCTGAAAAAAATCTGCTTTACAAAACTTCCCTTTCCATTTTAAGATCAGTTTTGAAAGGTGACAGAAAATTGAAAATATTTCAGGAGTATGAGGCAAACAGCAAAATGCTAAGAGATTAGTAGAACTCAATAAAACTTCTCAAAGTGAAGTTGAGAATGTATCATTTATAAATATGGACAAGGATGGGGATGGTTTGGAAAAGAGATATTTTTCTTTTTTTAAATTCACTTAGGTGACTTACTTTCACATGGTCAAGAAGTCATCTGCTCTGGAACTCAAATTTAGTAGTAGAGACTTGAAATCACAAAGGTGAGTGGAATAGAGAAAACACATCAATGGCATCAATGGCTTTCTCCCTTTCTCTTTTTTTTTTTTTTTTTTCTTTTTCTTTTAAGGATTTTTCTTTCTTAGTCCTGGAAGACAGCTTGAAAATAGGCACTTTTATGTGTAAAACAGCAATATGCATTTGTTTCTGCAGGCTGCTGGAAAAAAAAAAGAAGTAACTTGCAGAGGAGAGTACTGCCCTGTGCAGATATTCAGGTCTTCAGACAGTTCTGCCTTAACCAAGAGCACATGGGTTAATGCGAGCTACTATCCATGTACCAGGAGGTGTCTGTTTTCTTGTGAGAAGGAAAAAGAAGAATTTACTTGCTTCCAAGAAGAGATGTACTCCTGGAGAAGAGACTGAGTGAGAAGAGTTATAGTCCTCACCCCACTGATGTACAAGCAGAGGCTGAATACGGTGAGAAAAAAAAAAAAAAAAGCAGCTGTCAAAAAGATACTATTTGTACTCACCGTATTCAGCCTCTGCTTGTACATCAGTGGGGTGAGGACTATAACTCTTCTATAACTCTTCTCACTCAGTGAGTTTTTCATTTCCTTTATCTGGTTTCCTCTACCTTGTAATTCTTATCATTAATCTCTGTATTACTGAGTTTAACTAAAAACACCTCGTAGTGTATTAWAAACTTGACTGAACTGCAGGTATTTAGTCTAATCTCTTTGGATAGAAAATTATTTATCCATAAAATTTGCCAGCTTAGACTAGCAAAATATACTTCGGGCATCTTAGAATGTGTTACTATCATTTCCATTTACTTCAGGTATTCTTCCATCAAAACATATCTGTTTTCCGAATACACACACTTTGGTATAGCTTAGGCACCGGTAGAGCTATGTCTTAAAAGTCTGTACGTAAGAAATAAAAACCTCTGGGACTACTTTGTTGAGTTTTGTACATTGTCCATTGCTTGCTTTGAACACCTCACACACACACCTGCTCAGGTACATATCTCAGGTCTCCATAAGAGCAGAATCTGCTTCACGCTTGTCTTTGTGTTGGTCTTCAGTCCTTCCTGTTGTTCCTTCAGTTTGGTCTAAAATTATTTTAATGTTTTCCCATTTAAATTGGAACTGTCACAGAAAGCAGCTYTCCATACCCAAGGCAGCACTATTTCTGCATAATCCTGTGATTATTTGACTATCACTATTATTGAATGCATAAATAATTAAAATCTATCAGTAGTTGAGGGCTACAATAAATACTGTGCATTTCCCAGACATGCTGATTAGCTACCTTGCTAAGATGTGTCCCAGAGGACAGGTTTCTCCCATGCAACCTTCCCTGCTATTTGGGAGAAGTTCATGCATTGTGCAACAGCAGCTTGAAACAGGCTGTCGGAAAGCAGCACTTGGGAGGAGCAACATTGCACTTCGGCTTTCACACTTATATATAAAAAAAAATCATTTGATTTATGCATACTTTGTTGCAGAAAAAAAAATGGTGCAGCTGACACTTTATGCATGTGTAAAAATACTTCTAAGAGATAGAGGGCATATTTAATCTTGCTTCTTCCCCGAAACGCTGCTAGCCCAAGACCAGAGTGTAGGGATGGGTGTAGGGAGTGCGATGCCACCTCTGCTGGCCTCGTGTCCCTAGGAGGCTCCACCGGGAGGCGGCCGCTCATCCCCCCGCTGCCACGCGGGTCTCTCCCTCGCAGCTCCTGCGAGAGGAGGTCTCTGCCTGCCTTTGCCAAAGGGTTTCTCCCGTTTCCGCGGGCAGAGGGGGGCGCAGAGACACGCAGGGGGTCGCACCTAGCCGCCGACCTGCCCCGGGCGACCCGCGCTCTGCCCTGGGCCGGCCTCGACGTGTCCCCTCCGGGACACAGGGGGCCCTGGTGGAGCAGGACCCCCCTCCCAACCCGCTCCCCGCGCTTGAACTTTGGCCGGGCTTCGTGCCGCGCCGCCTCCGCGGCTCCTCCAGCCCCCTCCCCGCGTGGGTCCCCCCGTGCACCGGGCACAGCCCCCCGCGGGGCGCCCCCCCCCGC